CCATATCGAGGTAGCAACTATGAGTGGGCATTTAAGAAGTTACATCAGATATCTGTCACTACATAAAACATTGTTTTGAATCCTGCTATATACTAGTGATAAGAAGTAGCGTCAGTGGCACAGCGGTAAGGACGCTCGCCAACCATGCACATGGTCCAGGGTTCGATCCCTGGTCGACGCACCCCCTTACCTCGCTAAGCCAGAAAAAATGTTGGTAAAGAGGAAAGGTTGGGCATGAGGCTAGCAACCCCATCCTGTAAAATAAACACTGCTACAGAAACCTCAAGCCACTAGCTTGAAGCCCGATGTTCCACTGGGAACCTGAAGGAAAAAAAATTAGTAGTGCTTACTTCCCTAAATGAAGTGATTTAAACAGCGGATGATAGTTTCGCTCGTTTGAAGCCAAGTCCATCGACGGTATATGATCCATTTTGACTTCTTTTACCTTGAAGAGCTGAGTCAGTTCAAATCACCTGAATGCTGACTAGCTATCTAAGTGAACTGTAGAACTGACAGAATTTCATTATGGAGAAAATTGTTTTGATAAAGTCTCCCAGTATTAGCATACAGTCATATTTACTCATAATCATATCAAGTCACTCACACAACTTTCGGACTTCGTTTATACCATTCCATTATTTCTCAGCTATTGATTTGATTGGTAGGATTATTTGCCATATTTCCGGTAATGGTGATCAGCACGTGTTGGGTGTAGATTCTATGAATAAGGATTCAGTAATCACAACCTCTCTGTGTCTCTCTACCAACCTATATTACTTCTTAGAATTTTAACTCTATCCCTCCCACCCTATTGTGTGGTTGTGTGTTAATGCATGCATACAGTACAATTACTGAGCTGTTTTCTAAATTACTTATGTTTGTGGGATCAATCGTTCCAATCTTAGCTGGATTCTTGTGTTCTGATAATCCCACTACTGACCCTATCTACTAGTTTGACCTATGGTAATTGACCTAACCCACAGTCATTGTAAGGTATTTTGTAAATTATATTACTTTGTTTAATTGGGTCAACCTACAGAGCTTGTCCTACCTGAGTGAGTTTGTGGGCTGATATGCCTGCTTTATTAATAATCCTACACGTTGGGTCTCAGATGTTCCCTCCTTGTATGCTAAGACTCTAGGTGCCTTACATTCTTTCTTATTAAATTTAATTTTTCTTTTGATTATAGCCTGACTTGACACCGTATTTTTTGGTAGAAGTATGAAATTGTCAGCATGTGATATCGGTAGTCAGAATTTTTCAGATCAGCCATTGATATCAGGTTTGCGTTGGCAGGGGACCATGCGCATGGTTGGTGAGCATCCGAACCGCTGTGCCACCGATATCATTATTAGTTACACCACTATTTTTATTTTGCTCTTGTCCTTTTCTCATCTCCCTAATGAATTTTATAGAATAGTTGTTTGATACCTACCAATTATTCTTCTATCTGTTTTAGTTCATCACTTAGGTCTTTTTTGTGTTACTTAGTGCTACTGCTCGGTTTGTTAAACACTTAACTAAGCCAGCTTTAACAGCCAACGGGTGAGATGAATTAAAGTCTAAGTATCTATTAGAATGAGTTGGTTTTCTGTACACACAAGTGTGCAGTTTGCCTTCTTCTATTCGTTTTATTTTACAATCTAACATGATAGTTAATTCTCCTTGTTCATTTTCCGATTCAAATGTGAATTCTATTCCTCTACAAGTGAGTTAATGTGTTTCAAGAAGCTAGAGATATGTTCAGTGTTTTAACACTGTAAAAGTGCTATCCACATATCTCCACATCTCCATGTTTTTGGAGTAAGATTAAATGTACTAAGGGTAATATTTTCCCAGCTGTCCATAAATATGTGTGCTACGATAGGGGATATTGGTGATTTCATTGCTACACCTTCTGTTTGTCCATATATTTCGCCTTGGAATTAAAAGATAGTAGATTTGAGGCATAGCTGAATCCCTAACATACTTTGTTCAATGGGTAGCTTTGTCCTATGATTCAGTTCATGATCCGTCGTTAGTTCTTTTTTAACTGCTTCTAAAGCCATATTGACTGGTATATTAGTATAAAGACTAGTTATATCAAAACTAACCATTTTTTCATTATTCTCTAGTTGAATGTCGTTTAGTTTATTTTTCATCTCATATGAATTAGTTAATCTAGAGTTTGAACGATTTCTAATGGGGCATAGTATTAGAGCTAAGTGTTTTGATAATTCATAAGTAGGGGTATTCCTGAAATCTGCTATTTTTCGTATGGAGTAACCTGATTTATGTATTTTTATAGTACCATACATTCTACTAGCATTATTAGTTTTAGGCATTAAATAAAACCATATAGACTCACCCAGTGACAGCTTTATTTCGCGCATTAATTCCTCTGTAGATTTCCTAATCTTATGCATTATTGCACCTACAGGCTTCCTAATTTCTTCATGTTCAACCGCCTCAATACGTTCAGTGAGTTTATTGATGTAGTCAGACTTATCCAAAACTACTGTACAGTTTCCTTGCGATGACAATATTTTTATCCTGTTTTAGACCAACTGGAGCTAGTCTCTACCATTTTCTTAAGTTTGATTTCGTTTTCTTTTGATTTTACAGGATTAAGACACACTGTGCTCGAACTTCATAACATAAGAATTTAGTGGCTAAGGTAAGAATGGTTGACCCCCAAGAAGATAAGTATTTTAGAAAAAAGCTCAGCAATTGCAGTGCATGCATTAACACACAACCCCACATTAGAATGATGAGACAGAGTTGAAATTCTAAAAAGTAATCTAAGTAGGTGGAGAGAGAAACTGATTACTGAATCCTTGTTGATCGAGCCTGCACCCAGCATGTGCAATAGAAATGACCGGTCACCAATACCAGAGTTATGGAAAATACTACTACCAATCAAATTAATAGCTGAGAAATAGTGGAACATATAAAGGAAATGGGAAAGTTGGGTAAGTACCTTGACTTGATTATGAGCAACAATAAATTGCGCTCGAAACGTGGTCATCAGTAAATGTCACTGTATGACAACATTATGGGACTTGTCAAAATAAATTTTACCTACAATGAAATTATAATCTACCACCATAATGCATAAGTTTTATTCTTATATCTATAACAGATAGAATGTAATTCCTTTTCAAGGTTAGTTTGCAAGGGATTCTTTTTGTTTCAAGGCTCCTCACTGTGTGATATTAAGTGTGTTTGCTGAAAAGTCCTTAACTGTAGTCACTGTACAGTACTTCCTGGATAAAAATCATATCCTCACGACAAAATTACCTTTTGAAATTAATCTGATAGACGCTACTAGTAACTGATTGACTACTGGATGGGTTCTAGTGAAAAGCTGTAATCATCAGTGGGGTTCACCAAGTCACAAGTGTGAGGACAAATACTCACCCATAAAATCGACTGGTGTTGGCGCTAAGACTACAAATTGGTAGAAGTTATAATTCATGGATTCGCTATAAGACCAGGTCCTAATCATTAACTGGTCTACAAGTCTGGCTCGAAACTGAAACATCCTGGGCTTTAACTCTAGGAAATGAATATTACTGAAGACTATCCTACAAGGTGAGATAAAATAGACAGATACGAAAAGACGTTTTGTTTTTCAAGTATTGGTTTGTAGGGATATTGTTTGATTAGTTACAAGATTCCACCATTGGCTGACATCGGTTAGAGAACTAATATCTGTGTAAAACTTGGGCAGTGTGGTAGTAAGTAATTCCATATTAGTTTGTTTATTAGATGGATATATCACACAGTCAGTGAAACAGTATTATTTACTGGATGACAAAATTCCGAACAAAATTTATCGTTGTTCATAATCATATCAATTATAATCACACGACTCTGGAACTTGAGTTTTATAATTTCCCTTGTCCTCACCTATTTGTCGTCTTGGGCGTGGTAGTAGAATTTTCCAGATATCCAGCTGGATAGGTGTTGAATCATTCCTATTACATCTAGTAAATAAAGAATTTCCTCCATCCATCCATCCATCCTTATATACATTCAAGTTTTACTTTTATTACTTCTATTATATTCATGGTCCTGTTGCTTCTTTGCGAGCACCGACTTATCTCTATGACTGCTGTAATCTTTGTTTTTCCCCTCACCATATCATGTAAAGAGAACATTATATTCGATATTTTTGAACATGCTAGGATTTCTATACCGCATCAACAATACTGTGTGAAACAAGCCCACAGCAATTTTCACTTCTATTATTATTATTATTACCTTAGCTATTATCATTATTATTATTATTCCCATTTTATATGCTGCATGTTTTTGATATATCCCATCCATCCTATTGTATGGCCGAGTGTAATTGCATGTAATGCTATGACTGAACTATTCTCTAGATTTCTTATCTTATTTGGGTCAACCAATCTAGATTTAGCTAGGTTTTTATGTTCGGCTAATCTGACTGCCCCTGTTCTACTACTTTGACCTACGTATTTGACCTGACAATCACTGCAGACAGGGTATTAGGTAAACTACAATGTTTATGTTTTAAACGCTCCACAGGATCCTTTAACCGACTATAAAACTCAAGTTTCAAAGTCATGTGATTACAATTGATGACATGATTATGAACAGCAATAAATTTTGTTCGAAACCTCATTATCCAGTAAATAATACTGTTTCACTGTGTGATATATCCATCTAATAAACAAACTATTATGGATTAGAGAACTATTGGATAACCTGCAGTACTGGAGTACTGCATAGCTGTTTCCTCCTTTTTTGGCACTCTTCATCAGTACGTACCAACCGCAAGGGTTGGAACCCAGGACCTTCTGGTTACAAGGCGAGAAAACTTGTAGACCGATAAGCCAAGTGGGATCCGATCAGATAGCCAACCAGTCTTTGAATTCTAACTTCTGCCAATTCCCGACATAGCATGACAGCTATGCTCAACCCTTACACAATGTTGTCTGATGATGAGTTTGCCTAATTTTACTTTGTTTGTCTTTTGTTTTCCTTTTAGGCATCAACTTTATGTTACACAACAACATGATAATGAATCATTTGCATCATCAATTTTCAATGGAGTCGATTTAACCTCACCAGTTGTTGATTTTACAAAGTTCAGTTCAAATAATGAATCGATATTCAATGAAGTAGGTTTAAATTACGCAGAAAGATTTTTTGGTTTTAACGTATGATGCATATATATATATATGTATGTATTGGAATGGTTAGTCCTTTTGATAAATTTAAATAAGGCACTATCCGTCTACAGAAAGCTGATATGGAACGGACAACTTGTTAACTTTCATCACTTGAGTGCTTCTATATACAAAGCTATAGCTGATCCGTTCATCCAGCCAAAGAACCAGCAGTATTTACAGTCCTAATACCATAGGAGGGCGGTGATAGGTGGGGAGGGAGGTAAACATTCTAAAAGGAAATCCTCCTTGGAGATGACTATCCAAAAATCCATGAAACCTAATACCACTAAAATCACATAGATTTCCTACTTCAAAACGATTTTTCTACTTGAATCGCCTTGAATCAATGGAGACTTAATTCAACTTCTCCTGTGAATCTTGGCAGGTCTCCCGTACCAAGCGTTTGCTACCCAAACATATCATCGAACACTTACTTTCATGCTTTTATAAAGGAGAAAAAAGATCCCCCTGCCTGCAGATCTGTCCTGAAACACCTGATCGAATTTGGACACTAATTCGTAGGATGCTGAAGACTGTCAGTAGGGTGAGTGGTGTCCCACTGGACCACATAGTTAACGTTGTTGTTGGTAGGCACTTGATTTCGTGCAATAAATTTACCAGAGAGATTTTGTTTGACTTGGAGCATCCACTTTACCCTCAGCTTTCTTTCACCTTGCATCGCCTCAGGTAGAACAAGAAGTAACTTCAGAAAACTGTATGCTCACACGTCTTAGTATAGAAATTCTATGATACCATACTCGGCACGTATTTTATTTAATGAAAATAGTGTCGGGCAAGAATTAACTAACCTTTTTTCATCTAGTAAATAAACAATTTCCTCCATCCATCCATCCATCCTTATATACCTTCAAGTTTTACTTTTATTATTTCTATTATATTTATGGTCCTGTTGCTTCTTTATTTCTTTTACTCTCATAATTGCAAACACCAACTTATCTTTATGACTGCTGTATTCTTTGTTTTTCCCTTCACCATATCATGTAGAGAGAACATTATATTCAATATTTTTGAACATGCTAGGATTTCTATACCGCATCGACAATACTGTGTGAAACAAGCTCACAGCAATTTTCACGTGTATTATTATTACGTTACCTTAGCTGTTATCATTATCATTATTGTTGTTTCTATTTTATATGCTGCATGTTTTTGACAATTCCCCTTTTGTAAATGTGGAAATTCTATTTTGACGTGGTTGTGTTCTCCGAGCTGGATGGATGGTTTATTTGCGAAGTTTTCATCACCCTACTGGGTAACATAGTCAGCGCATACTTCAAGTTGTAGTGAGCTTTTAGGTTTCTCCACGAGTTTATTAATCATTCCTCCTGGTGACCTTGGACGTGATTGGTTGTTTGTGTGTGTTTTCACACCATCTAGGTTATTTGTATTGAAACTGATTGTTTCTCTGACTTGAACTTTGGCCAATCGTGTGTGAAGTTTCTTTCTTATTGGTTGATAAATTTTGTCTATCACTGTGTCTATTGATTGATGATTCACTGGAATACCAGACAGACTTCTAAAAATTCTCTGGCATTCTTGATGCTTCTTCTGTGGAATATTTGAACTCTGGTTGTCCCAGTCGAATTGATGTCCGTGGTTGTCTGTGTGTAGTGATTTGAGGGAGTGGATATCATGTCTTTTGACGGCTAGCTTATGTTCGTGGATACGAAGACGAAGGGGACGTCCACTTTGACCAATGTAGTGTTTTTCGCAATTGTTACAATTTATTTTGTAGATGATGTTGGTTTAATCTTCTTTCGCTGTTGAGTCTTTTGGTTGACATAGAATTGAGTGCAGCGACTTTGTTGGTTTGTGTACGACGTCAATTCCTAAAGGTTTGAAGAGTCTTGTAGTGATTTCTGAGATATCCTTTATATATGGTAAGTCGATTTTCTTTGTGTTTTCCTTGGTGGCTTTTGTTTTGGTAGGTTGGCTTGGGGGTATATGTCTCTTGATGAAATTCCGTGGATATCCATTCTTTTGGAAGACGTCCATGAGATACTTTTCTTTAGTTTTCCTTAAGGCGCGAGTGCTGCAATGAGTCCTTGCTCTCTTGAATAGTGTTTATATGCAATTCCTTTGTGTGTTATTGGGTTGTTGCTGTTGTAATTCAGGATTTGGTCTGTGTGAACTGATTTCCTATAAACTTGAGTTTCTAATTCTCCTGTAGTTGTTCGCCTGACTAAGACGTCCAAAAATGGTATTTTGTTCTCGGATTCCTCTTCTCTTGTGAATTTGATGTCGTTGAAGACGTTGTTTATTAAGTTGTGAGTTTTATCTAATTCGTTTCTTTTGATGATTACAAATGTGTCGTCTACGAGGCGTATCCAAATCTTGGGTTTGATCTTTGGTAGAATTATATTTTCGAGTCTTTGCATCACTGCTTCTGCAATCAAACCTGATATTGGCGATCCCATGGGTGTTCCTTTGACTTGTTCATATATTTGGCCATTGAATTGGAAGTATGTTGTTAGGCATAGATTTATGCATTCCATCCAGCTTGTGTGTTGCATTTTTGATTGTTGTGGAGGGAGGTGTTCGTCGTTGCCAAGTAATTGCTCCATGGTTTCTTTTGCTAATATTTGTCCGATTGAGGTATATAATGTTGTCACGTCGAAGGATACCATTATTTCTTGTTCATCCATCTTTTCTATCATATCTAGATTAATTCTATTTATAATTTGAGGGAATTAGATGCCATATTGTGATTAGTGCTGAAAATTCCATTCTGTATCACAAGTACTGTTTTTTTGAATAAAGTAAATCATTATTATTATTATTATTATAAACCAGCTTCAATGTGATCTACAGAGTGAGTGAAAATCTTGCTAATGGCGTAAGAATCAAATTTCTTCCAGCCCCACAGAAGCAGTAGCGATTCATCACATGTTAAATCATGTACTCTGTATACAAAAGAAGTTTTTTCAGTCAATAAATCTGATCCTTCTTAACATGGGAGTTTTTCATTTTAGCTTTGTAGTCGTATTAGTTTCTTCTCCCTTCCAACCGTATAAAATTTCTATCCCTTATTATTACAACAACTGTTAACTTGACTCTCATTCAATTTTACTTGAATTCTACTCAACACCGTCAATTACATTATGTCCCTCACTTCGCCCGTTTACCTTTGCCTTAGTTTCTACGCGACTAAAACCCCTTTATACATCCCATCCAACAGCTATACGACAATGCTGCATGGCACCAAGTAATCCACAACGGGAAATTTACAGAAGCCTTCGAAGTGAGGACGGGAGTGCGACAAGGCTGTCTACTATCACCAATGATCTTCCTGATTGCAATCGATTGGATAATGCGACAGACAACGGCAACCAAGGAGGGAACAGGCATAAAATGGACTGACACAAAAGACTTGGAGGATCTGGATTTCGCCGATGATATATGTCTGATTTCCCACAAACTGGAAGATATGCAAGTGAAAAGCAACAAGTTGGCAGAACAAGCATCAAAGATAGGACTTCAAGTGAACATAGATAAAACAGAGGTGATGAAGATTCCTGGCCAACGCCAACAGCAGCAACAACAACAGACAACAACCAGCCAGCATAAATGGGAGGAACCTGAAAGAAACAGCCTCCTTCACCTACCTGGGAAGCATCGTCTCAACTACAGGCGGAACTGACGAGGATATCAAAGCCAGAATCGGAAAAGCAAGACAAGCTTTCATTACTCTCAAATCTGTGTGGAGGTCAACAGCACTCAACATCAAAAATAAGATCCGGATTTTCAACTCCAATGTAAAGCCAGTGCTACTATACGGATCAGAGACTTACACTGCGTGTCATAAAGAGCATCTCAAACAAACTTCAGACCTTCATTAACAGCTGTCTTCGCTCAATACTCAAGATCAGATGACCAGAAAAGATCAGCAACAGGGATCTCTGGGAGCGAACCAATCAGGAACCGACTGTGAAACAAATAGGCAGGAAGAAATGGAGATGGATTGGCCATACGCTGAGGAAACCATCAAGTGACATCACTAGACAAGCCCTCGAGTGGAACCCGAAAGGGAGGCGGCGAGTTGGTCGTCCAAGGGTGACTTGGAGGAGGTCATGCGAGGAGGAGATGAAAACATGTGGACAGACCTGGAGCGAGGTGAAAAAGTTGGCAGAAAACAGAAGGCAATGGAGACGCGCAGCTAAAGCCCTATGTTCCTCTAGGAACTAAAGGATACATTAACAATAATATCCCTTTTTATATTACGTGAGTTGTTCGGCTAGTCTGACTGACTGCCCTTGTTCTACTACTTTCACCTATGTATTTGACCCCACAATCGTTGCAGGGAGAGTATTAGAGAAACTAAATTGTTTTGTGTTAACGGCTACACAGGATAATCCTTTAACCGACATAGCTTGTTTCTAATTGAGTTTGTGTTCGTTTTGAATGCCAGACATTTTAATTCCTGCCTGCCTTGTTAAGAATTCTGCATAAGGCTACCGAGGTTCCTTCCTTGTATGGAATTACTAATTACTACTGATGATTTAGATTCCTTATTTTTTTTATTACAGCTTGATTCCACACTGTATTTTTGGTACAAGTATGGAATTTTCAGCATGTGATATCGGTAGTCCAAATTTTGCAGGCCGACCATAGATATCATCAGGTGTATGTTGGCAGGGGATCGAACCCCAGACCATGTGCATGGTCAGCGACACAGCGACATAGGATAAGATGATCGGAAGTCCAAATATTATTTGGACAATTAGTCTTTAAACCTACAATCTATACCGCACCCAAGAAGAAAAATGTTTTCATAAAATTACTGTATATAATGGGGAAATAAACAATTAGGATTTTGAGACACAGGTTGAATTCGGTCATCCGTAAAACCTATTGTCGAAAAAGCTGAAAATATGTTTCATTGCAAACCTCAAAAGTGCACAAGTGATTATATTAAATATTCCCATAGT